CGGATCAAAAGACGCGGCCCCGGTTGTGGGCCGGGGGAGCGTCTCTCCGCCGCTCCTCTCGGGATGCGGGGGAAGGAGGCGCGGACACGGCGCGTGGCAGTCGCTGCCGGGCTTTAAAGGCGCGAGCGTCTCCGGTCAGGGTGGCCCCTCCGTGTTCAGGCGCGGACTGGGGTCGTTGCTCTGGGCATCGCGCTGGTTCCCTCGGGGGACAGAGACCCCCTTCAGCCTGGAGGAGGAGAGGACTGGCGTTGGGGCCGGAAGGGGGGCAAGCTGACCTTGGCTGATCTCTGCTTACCTGAAGTGCACCTGGAGGGGAGAGTGCAGGGCAATCCCAAGCCTTGCAATTAGACCGCCCCCCCCGAAAAAAAATCATAGATGGCAGTGGCAATGCACTTCCATGCTGTCGCCACAAAATACATGTGGACACCTGGCGAAAGCCCCTAGGAGTCAAACTCAACTCCGCAAACTATCCTACCCTGAAATGGATGGGAGTTGAGAAAGTTTGGGCGAGTGCTAACTTTGGTGTTTGGAGAGGACTCCTGAGAATACAGGACAGCTGAGAAAACAAACTGATGGGCTCTCAACAAATCAACCCAGAAGAGTTCTCGCTCAAGACACAGATGACCAGGCTCAAATTATCCTACTTGAGACACACATGAAGACCTCGGTCTCTGGAAGAAGGTTCTCATGGTGGGAAAGGTGGAAGGAAAGAGAAGACGAGGACGACCAGCAGCAAGGGGGATGGGCCCAATTAGAGGTGATGAGAAAATCTACATGATCGCTAAGACTCAAGGACGACTTGGTGGCACGTTATCAAGCATTGTTGCTTGAATAAACGACTGCACCCAAAACCAATCTGCCAGGGACTGGGGTGTCTATAAGGTATGGTCAGAAAAGTCATAGGGTTGAGCTTTGATTACACTGTCACGGCTGCCATCTTGGCATTTTAACCACACCCTGCAGACACCTCTGGTTCTGGCAGATCATTCCATGGCATCCTATGTAAGGACCGTCCTGTCTGCCCAATTCAATATGAGGAAGATCCTTTTTGGATGGATGTTCTAGGCCCTACCGCTTCACCTCTTCCTGATGGCCTGCCTCAGAGAGGGTTATTCAAAGTAACCCACAATCATCACCTTGGCTCTGCTGCATAGGTTGCTATCACTCCTCCCTTTGTAACTGGAGAGCTGAGAGGGATGTCTCATGGATTCCCTGCAGCTCCCCCAAAGTAGATTTGAGCCTGAGATTTCTCAGGACCACTCTGAGTGCCCCGTTACTACAGTGGAAGAAACAGAATAATTTTGAAGTATGAGGCCAGCTGTGCCAGAGGACAATGTTTCTATATTACATAGACCAAGCCCCTACTGTTGAATGCACAGATAATTCAGCTCTGGTTGAGTAAGAAATGCCATGCATATATAAAGGAACATTTTATGCATAAGGTAAATGACAAGCAGAGGTGTATACACTGATTCAGAGGCTTAACAGATGAGATTATCTTTACATTGCAGAAAGATTCAGATGCAACCAGCGTTCTTACATTTGTTCCTACGTATCAGACATGTTAAACCAGATAGGAAAAATGATCCACCGCTTAAGAAGAAAAGGGTGAGTCCAGTTAATATAATCTAATAAAAGCATTAATGGTGTTTCTTGCGTATTCTTTGAAGACCCAACCAAAACATTACTTGGTGCCAACGAGTAGAAACTGGGCAACCGTTTGCATGAAATTCATCAGGGAGAGAATTCAGACGGTAGGGGTCTTTCGTTCTCCATTGTTCATTCTGAGCCCCTTTGTGCACACTGCTGGAGGGGGCCTTGTCTGTTCATCCAGGCCCCAGCGGAAGGATCTGAAGGAAGAAATCGTCAGCTGCAGGCAGAGACATGTTTCTCCCTCCCTGCTCCCGGTTCAGAGGCAGCGCGGGAGTGCGCATGAACAGGAGTGAGGAACCGTTGCTGACATCGAAGGCAAAAATAAGGGGGCGGGGAGGGAATGACGGATCCAAGCTGTTAACAGTTCTGTCTGATGTTATGCTGAATTTGCTGCGCAGAACCAACGTAGGATATGTTTTCGTGAACTTACTAGAATGCTGAGTCTACCCATATTCAAAACATTGCAGTAAGATGACTGGCTGTGAATGAAACCTTGCTGTTTTTGGAGGCGTTTGCTTGCAGTACTGTTCTGCTTAGATGCTGCCTTTGGATTTGGGCATTGTTTCGCCAGCAAAATAAACATAAAAATACATTTCTAAAGGTCTGGGTACACTTGCGTATTTACAAATCATGGCACTGCAGACGTTATGAAATTGAAAAGCTTTGGGGAAATGTGGGGGAGTGGCAGCATTTATTTTCCTTGTTTGTTTACCGGGCCCAGTCCCAAAGGAACTCTGGTTTTTAAAAAGAATAAGCTCTGTGTCGAAATGCTTTCAATGGCAGTTCTGAAATTTAAAACCTAAAGGTCTTGATTTTAACTTTTCTGAAAAAAGAAAAGATGTAGAATTATTTCATATCTTAGAAAAAAGATAATCCTATAATGTATACATATACATGTTTGTGTGTATATATACATCACAAATGTTTGTATATACAATATATCTATATATAACATGTATGTATGTGTGTATGCCGGTGTATATGTAGGATTATTGTACGCACACACACACAAAATACTAATAGTTCACTCAGTCGCTGAAAAGTTTTTATGTAGCTAAAATGGCACCATCTACATCCATGAGAAAGGAAGGTTTGAAGGAACTCCAGCTTTCTTAAATATTTTAAAATGCTTCCAAGGGCAGTTCGATGAAGGCTGAATTTACAACATGGCCACTGAACCCTGACTTTCTGTTTTCCGGCCAAAATAAAATCAGGCAGAGGTGGAATGGAAAGGAGTAGCTAAGAAAAGGGCATGGCCAGCGGGGATCATCAGCTAACCAGGGAGCAACTTATATTAATAGCAAGGGGCTTTTGTTATATAAGGGAGTCCAGGAACTTGGTGCGGTTCCATGAGAGGCTAAATTTTTTAAAAAATCACTCAAATGCAGTCAATTTTCTATCACTAGACTTTGTCTCTTGATCGGGGGTTCTAAGAATTGCTGTTTTTTAACTAGCAAGTTCCACAGCCTGAAAAAGTTTGAAAAGCCCTGCCCTAGTTGCCTGAAAACACACAGCACACCCCTCTTGTTGAAGAAACAAATCGGTACCTAAACTAAACTGATCAGGATCTGAACTTGGACTGGGACCAGGGAGACACAGATTCAACAGTGGAGTCCTTGGTGTTCTCTGAGCTTGTTCAACCCTGAGCTACATATATTCTCTTCTGTTGAAAATATATTCTCTTCTATTCAAGTCCACTTTCTCTCAGCCCAACCTACCCTACAGGGTTGTTGTGGGAAAGATTTGGAGGAAGTACTGCTATGTACCTTGGCTTTTGTGCATTTAGGATCCTCCTTCCAGCCCCCTGGGCCTCTGGTGTGATAGGAGCAGCAGGGTTGGAAGAGAATCTCCTGTGAAAGGAAAGTAAGGCAGGAAAAGCCTGTCAGACTAAAAACTGGAGAATTAACAGTGCATGCAACCAAGTTTTAAGCCGGCTAGACAGTTTTTGTTTCTGGAGGTACTACTTAAGATATTTGAGGCTTGCCTTGCATAACTCCACTTCTAATCCTAGTGTAATTTACTGTTGAGAAAGGGTTGCCAAACTATAATTTGAGCCAGATCAAATTTGATTAGGGAAGGTAATGATCATTTAAGATGCAGAAGTGACCATCATAGATCTCTGGGTTTTATTCAAGCACAAAGGATACAGAGGCAGCTATTCAGGTTGGCGCAGAGTTCAGATTTCATCCCATTAGCAAATCCTTCTAAATGAGTGTGGAAGCATGACTCAACTTTGTTGTTGTTGTTTTTAAAAAAAACAGTCTGGTTAGTGGACATAAAGAGAGGCCAGAGGGCCCTAAAATGCTGGTTGGAATCACTGCAGTTCACCCATCGAGTGGAAAGGAAGGGGCTGCAAAAAGGAAAGGAGAAGGGAAAAGAAAGAACAAGGACTCGTAACAATCTCCAATTTAAAAATCAAGGTTTATTTTCAGTTCCAGGTGAGCAACTTCTTTGTTAGATGTATTTCACAACATGGGCCTTTCCTCCTGTCGGCTTCAAACAAAGCTGGCATAAAATGGGCCGTCTGCCTTGCCAAGCCCTACTTTGTTTCTGCACCCTCTGTTCTGAGCCGTTGCTGAGCGATGCAGCTCTGATCTCTGCATGTCGCGTGCTTTCTCCTCTGGCTTTGCTGCTGTCCCCATCACATCGCAGCAGGATGGGGAGGGTCTCCCTTCAAAACTCGGCAGGTTGGTCTGCTCCTCTTCCTAAACCCCATTTGGGCATCTCTCAGGTTAAAATAATGTGAAAT